CACAGCAGGCAACGGTCACCAGTGGTGTAGGGTGCCCTCTGGTTCACCCCGAAAGTGAACGGGGTCTGCGTAAGAGAGCAAAACAGATCAACTGTGAGGAAGCAGCTTTCCCTTCTGCTAGATACGTAAAATGCCCATAAGGATATCTCAAATTGCACTAATGGTCGCCCGCTACAGGAGATCAATGATTCTAGAAGACTAGAGTAACGCTTCAAAACAGTAGGCTGCTAACTCAACTTACACCGGATCAGACTTTCAGGAAATCACGGCTCTGCTACCGCACAGAGAAAATGCAAATACGGCAGAGCGCTGTGTTCCAAAGTGAGAGATTTGCCTGTTACCTGAAGGACTCCAGAGAAGTCAGCGTTTACTGGGCCTTCTGAAAACTGTGGAGCGCCATTCAATGGGACCTAAAGAGAAAGCCGGCGATAAATCAACTCATTCCAGGCTCAAGGTTATAAACTTATTACAATAATGTAATTACATACACTATGTTGTTTACGACTTTAGCTCAAACCTAAAAGAGTGCCATCTAAATGCACTCCTCGTAGCTCTCAAAAAAAAAAAAAACACCTTTCGCAGAATGAACCGCTGACAGTAGCCAAACACCTATTTTTATATAATAATTCTGTGAAGATGACATATGACGAAAGTATTACTTCTACATGCATTTCATTTTCCGAAGGTCCTCTCTCAACTGATGAGTCACAACTCAAAATGGATTGCAGGTCTTATGATAGAGCAGTGTACAGCAATACAAAGAATAAAATGCTAATGAACTAATGAAACGATCATGCATTTGACAGCAAAATAAGAGAAACAATTTCAATATATTTTGTTGTTGATGTTAAAACTATAATATTTTGGCACACATTCATAAAAGAAAAGAAAATACAAACCAGACTACATTAAAAGAGGATAAACATGATTTATACAGACCAAAATTTGCTCCACATAATTAATTATTGGCATGAAACCATCAAAATAAGACATTTACAATTCAATATAATAATACACTTTCAGTAAATAAAAAAATCCATGTTTTACTTATTTATTTTTTACTTTTGTATAGAATAAACAAGAATGTTGTTAAATAGTGTGTGGAGTTGTCACTTGATCTTAGAATCTAAAATCTAAAATCTGTGTCCTAAAGCAAAACTAGACAAGCATTTCCTGTCCTGTGTTCCAGACATATTTATTATGTTAAATGTTGTAATTTAAAAATAGCAATCAAGACAATGCAGCTATCCAGTAATATTAAATGTCCTAATAAACCTAAATAAATACAAATTGAATTTGCAGCAGCAGCTCACAAATAATGTCAGAGCTGTTATATGAGGCTGTTAAAAGAATCCTCATTTTTTATTTAGAATAGCCAGCAGGTTATCAGCTATTCAATAAATCCGTGCTTGTGAAAATAGACAGCTATGGCCACAATATTACAAAACAAATTACATAACAAAAAAAAAAGAAAGAAAAAAAGAAAAGAAGAAACTGCTTTAAAGCTGGTGAGTGACATGTTCCATGGTAAAGTGCCTTCCTCATATCTCAGTTTAAAATGAAAATACAACATTTAGCCTAAGACAATTATTTACCAACTGACACATTGGCTTAACCATGGCAGTATTTGGAAAATCTGGTTTGAAAGATTTTAAACAAAATTGCTATCTGAAATAAGATAATGTGCTTAGTTAAACACAAAAATGTCACCATTTCTGAGACAACAACAACCTGCCAACAAGCGCTGTACGGTAGATTACAAACGACTTTATCAGAGTAAACCAGAGGTTGTTTGGCAGTGTTATTTCATGAAAAGAAATAGAGCAACAAATGATTCACATAAGACCTAAACTTCTAAGAGAACATGTCATTAGTCAGATTCAGAAATCATAGATAGTTAGACATCCTCACATTTTGGCTTCTGGTCTTCTGGCTTCTGAAATATGTCCACTGTATGTAAGCAAAATAGCCATGATTCCGTCTATGGATGAAATGGTCGCTTTTGCTTGCTTATGTCAATACAGACTGATACTCTTGTTAAGCTACAGATGTGGTTTCCTTGGAAACAGAGGCATACCACTAGTAAGAACAAGTCTCTGACAAAGCCCTGGACACTGGACACTGTGCTGTGAGTGACCTATTCATTCCCTGACACTTCTCAGGCTGGACTGCATAAATGCACAACTCATAAGGAAAGCAGCTGATAAACTGAGGTTAGAGTGTGTATGCCTATAAATATGGTAGGTAAATACTAAGAGTTAACTGTGCTAAGTGACTATACACCACATAACCTTTACGTCCAAATCACAAAATTTGTCCAAGTCTCAATTTAAAACCCACTCACAGACATATTACAGGCTTTGTTGACATTTACGGTTGAATGTTTTCAAGCACTTCCGGTTTGATCATACTTGACAACTGAAAGTTCAGAAAGGCAATTATTACCTCAATTTTATTTCATAACGCAATACATAACGTTTTAAATAGAGAACCTGTGGTAAAAATAATAAAGAAAAAAACGTGTAAGGGAATATTTCGAAACTTAAAGTAAATGTCAAAAAACGGTGGACTTTAGCATTTGATCGGTCTATCGACATGGTCATATTACTGTGACTACGGTTAATAAACGGGGATATTCTCAGCCTCAAGAATACATTTAATGCCTTTTTATTAAGGAAGGTTGATAAATATCATTGGGTTATTGAAGTAAGTTAACGTTACACCTTGTAAACACATCAGCTAAAACTGGGCAGCGCTTGACAAGTTAGCTTCACATCACTCAGAGCACCAAAAAAAAACACTCAAACCTCCACATCCGTTGCAAAAAAATCATTCCAAATGTGCTTTCCACACGTCTTCACGGGTTTCTTCCCATGTTTCGATGATCAGACCAGGAAATGTGTAAGATTAAAGCTCTAGATCAGTGAGGCTCAGCTCAGGCTCCATGTAAACGTGAGATCAGCTACAGGAGCTTCTCTTAGGCCCCCAATATCATGGAATCTGGAGTAAACTACACCCACATGCACCATCAACCACCCCGCATGGCCCAGCCGCTGCTTACCTCTCCGTTGAGGCTGGTGATGGTGCTCGGGTCTCCGTGCGCAGTGCCGCTGGAGGGTGTTGGCGGAGCTCCGGCCTTCCCTGCGCCGCCGCCCCGCTTATTCTTCCTGCGCTTCGCTCCTCGTTTGGCGTCTGTAGGACTCATTTCTACCCGCGGAATACACAGACAGCGTTCCGTCCACAAACAGCAGGGTCGCTGGTGCAATGCCAGGCTCTGACGCAGCGGACACTGATAAAATATAGCTGTATTTAAGAGATACAATCTAAGAGCCTGCCAAACTGCTCACACAGTATAGCAGACTTCAAATTCCAATATGGCCGACCCAACAGGAATTGGCCAATGGCGTTTACGCCATGACGCCATATCTTGGGGCTTATGGGAAATTGAGTTTTAAAACTCGCGACCACGTATTATTATTATTATTATTATTATTATTATTATTATTATTACTACTACTAGTAGTAGTATTATTATTAACATTATTTGATTAGATGTTGTGTCTGTGTTGGTGCTGAAAGGGTGTTTAAAAAAATCAATATGCGAGCGTAAATGGCGAATTAATTCACTGTTATTCAATCTTGCTCTATTTTAGGTTTTCTCTCATCAAGCTCTTTGAGTATTTTACATGTGCGTTGTTTTTCTTATCGATATTTTCGTTTTCTAGATAACACTTTAAAATTAACACTGTCCGGGAGAGGGATTTTTACAGAATGTATAATCATTTGCAGTCGTTAGATGGCGGTAATGAGTTATCCAACTTTTTATATTTTATTTTATTTTATTAATGCCAAGGTATCAAAAATAAAGCTATCCAACTTGCGTTGGCAATTTATAGACTATGGACCGCACTAACCATAATCCTGTATTCCACATTGGCACAAGTTTTGTTTTTGTTTTTTTGTAAAATTTGTAAAAATTGTATACATTTGTAGAATGAATGTGGTGTGTGTGGCGTGCTACAGATTGTTTAAACTGATGCCCTCGCCTGTGAGTCAAATTGTATCCATATAACCATTAAAATTAATGAATTATTGATTGCTGTGCAGTTTGTCTAAAGACTGTGGACATTATATTTTAGTGAATTTCTCTGACAACATGTCACAGTTTTAAGTCTGGATGTCCTGAGCATTGATTCTGAGATAAGCCTACCAAATGGAGGTTTCACAGCGACAACAACTTCTCCTTGGTCTTTAAAAATTACTGAAATTAATTTAATCAAATTTGGCACTTAGGAATTAATGCATAGACATTTTGGTAGATACAACAAGAGAATAGGGAAAGAAATTGTACATATATTCCTGTGAAATAATCGATATTATTATGAAAATGTTGCCAATTTTGACTCCATTATTACACATCTTTTTTTCATTACATATCACACCAAGAACGCATTAATGTGTAAATTAGATAGAGTAGATACAACTACCCATTTAACCAACATATTGCATAAAGTAAAATGGTATCAATTCGTTTAATTTTGGAACTTGAAACCTAAAAATGTATTGGTGAATAAAAAAAAATAAAAAAAAATCAATTTCTTTTACTTTTTAAGAAACTGAGTACTGGTCTCTACTACAGAAGACATGGCATAACATGAATAATAATAAAAAAAATATCTATATATATCTATATCTATATTATTATTATTTCTCTAGAGGACAAACATTTGTGTCATTTCTAATAGGTCTTCTTAATAAGCGATAGCAAATAGTGATGAGGGGAATATGAATGTGTTTTTCATTAGATTGGAAAAAAATGCAAACAAAGACACGTTTTAGACTGTAAAAAAAACGAGTGTCTTTAGCCCCATTCTCCACCCACAGATGGCGATGTTGCGTTGGGCTACACCTGTTTTTTTTTTATGCTAGAGAAAGTAAACCAGCTATTTGACTGGTTTGTAGAGTTTACTGGGATCGTTCTAGTAAGGACAAGACAAGGATAAACAACAGCTAGATCATTTATTGCATTTCCTTGATTATGAGATGATATGGAACACTAATCGAAAATGACACCTATTAAACATGAAATAGCCTTCCAGAAATGATACTGAATATTTCTTGAAACTTTAAACATGTCAAAAATCAGTTCATTATGTCAAATACATGTATTATCAAGCTTCATCACTCTCTTTGAATCAGATGGTGAGCAAAGAGATAACAAGTACAGACAGTAGCTACATGGAGAAATAGGTGACAAAGACAGATTGTAATCTAATACTAAATCAAAACATCGTGCACTTATGACTCCGGCTTGAAAATATCAAACTATTCTAAAATACAATTACACATTATGTCTAATCTGTACAAATAAATTAGCAAAAGAACAGAACTATTAACAATCCCTACAGATTTCTTGCTTTGCTGGCTCATATGAAGGCAACTCTAAACTACTGCAGAATGACTCCAGAACACAGTAGTGCAATATAGGCACACCCTCTTAAAAACACACCACCACAAAAATACAAATCGCTTTCTTGTGTTTCTTCAGCAGAGTCAAAAGGTCAAGCGGTCTATTTTCAAACATACTTTCAAGTTTCAGCAGGACAAGTTTCTTGCCAGTTTCAAAGTCTTTCTTTCCCTTTGGAATTTAGATCCACCCTAAAACGTGCTTGCTATTCACAATCGAGACGTGAGCTGTTCATGTCAGTAAACACAAAAGCAGAGCGGATCTTTGATATCCAAAGCACCTATATACAATCAATCACATAAAAGTTTTCAAACCCACATGGGTGCTGCGATCTGAAGCCAAACTGGAGGAAGAAAGCAGGGAAACGAGCAGACGATTGGCTGGAATACAGTACACACATTTTGCTCAGTTTTTTGCCCCGATTTACAGTCTGGACGAATCAATGCTAGTTGCTAAAAGTCAGAGGCTCCGAGCCAGTCTGCAGACATAAGTAGACAGATTTCACAAAACATCGCATGATGGGCACAGACTCTCAGCTCTCAGAAGTTTTAGCTTCAGATACATTTGTAATGCGTCTCCAAGCAATGAGGCGAGTGTTTCTGTGCGAGTTAGGAACGAACATAAGTGTGTGATCACCAGTTAGTGTTTTAAAATCTGCTCAAATTTTAAAAATTGTGGTGTATCCCAGCCTGAAAGTCACCATGAAATCCAAATGGACTATTTTCATCACAGTATTTAGCCTATAAATGAGTTGTCCGTGCACATCAAATACATTCATGTGCCCTTGCGATGTTCCTGTCCCTCTTGCGGCAACACCTCTTTTCATGATGTGTTTTTCGCCACAAGGACGGGATACGCTGTCAATCACATGAGATCAAAAGCAGACAACAATGATCCAATCAATTCCTGATAGACAAAATCAAGTCCTGCCCAATATGTTTTCTTGTCCGAGAAGCTGTTTCACTTAGAAGTAAGTCACAATGGATAAGAAAACACTTTTGGCAACTCTTCCAGGCTGTAAATTGGGGCAAAAATCTGAGCAAATCCTGTATTCCAGTCAATGAAGCATTAAAGATTCGCAGAGTAGCTATTTAATTGTTTATTTTTATATTTGGAATTGTCTCCATATTGATTCCCCTAAGTAGAGTTATTCTTCCTTCTGCAAGCCCTTGTTGGCCTCAGCACTGCATTCTGGGAAGCAGGGAAGTGGGGCAGAGCAAGGGGAGGACAGAGGTGCTGATGGTGTATTGGGGGTTGTTGAGGCTAAAGGCTCAACCAGAGCAGCACTCGTAGAATCCACCGATTGGGCAGATGACCGTCTCCTATTGGAGCGTCGTCTCCCTGGATGGGTGGAGGAGGGGCTTTTTCCTGGAGGAGGGCTGGTGTCCTTACGCCGGCGAGAGAGCTGGATGGTTTCCTTATCTAGAGCTGTGTTCTACAAGAGAGAGACAATACTGCATGTTAATGTTCACATGAGGTGCACCCACCCAAAAATGGAAAGGAAACTGAAAACAATTCAGTAGGGAAAGAGTAAGTGAGATGAAGTTACAATCAGGGAGGTCAAGGAAGCGATAAATTCAATCTTAAAGGAATTCTTCCCCTAATCCTACCCATAAACAGGATTTTTTTTAAACTTTTTTTAAAAACCATAACCTAATATGATTTATAAGCTGTTATGGAGATCAAAAATAAATAAAAAAATGTAAAAATATAAAATTATTATGGGTGTAAACAATTTGTGCACTGGTAAAAAGTACATTTTCATATTAAAATACACATTTAATAAGGTTTGAGAGATTTTATGTGAGACGACATCTGCACGTTCCCACCATGCACAATATGATCTCATTAGTTTACTTTAGTTAATGTATAAATTAACACAAACTAACAATGAGCTCAAGTCCATTAAATATTAACAAAGATATTTTCTGACTCTCAGTTGAAAATAACACTGAAACATTCTTCAAACTATCATCCTATTAGTTCTGCTGAAGAACGAAAGCCATCGAAATGATAAATGTGAGTGAGAAAATGATGGCAGAATTCTAATTGTGCATGAACCTTTAAACGTTCAATAAAGCAGCTGTTCTGTTGGTTTTTTTTTTTTTATTCTCGTTGCTGGAACAGGAAACTGGTCCATACTAAGATATAAAAGACATTATGCATAACCTGGTTTCATTGAAAAGTCAATACTATTGATCACGTCGCAGGTGGAAAAAAAAGACCACAGCAGAGAAAGAGATTGAAAATGGAAAAAAAACACCCCTAATGTTCATGGCAGGATTAAAGTGATTAAAGTGTTTTTTTTTTTTTTATTGGGGTTCGTGGGAGTCTAGGAAGTCAGAGGGAAAAAACATTAAATAAATTAAAGATTAAAATATATAAATAATAATTATAGATTAAAATGAGTTAAAAAGGTAAATAAAAAATATATACATATAATTAAAAGTATAAGAGTGTATGTGCGAGGAGACGGCGGCGGGGAGGGAGGAGCATAGCAGTTAGTGTTAGTACATACCATTGCCTTGGAGCTAGTCAGAGGATAGCAATGCCATGGGGAGAGCAGAAGCAGAGGACAAAGACTAGTCTTACTCACAGAGCACATACAGCACAAATTCTTACACAACACTAACATAACCTCTAACAGTTCAGCTGAGGGACATTTCACAAGGACTACTTTAGAAACACCAGCTTGCTTAAAGCTAAACATAGCTACTTAAAGGGACAGATCACTCAGAGATGAACATTCTGGACGTTGTTTGTTCCAAACCTGCATGCTGATGTTTTTAATATTCAAACAAGCTATCAAAAAAGTGTACAAAAAAGCACCATCAATTTAGTCCATATGACCATCTAAAGCCATAGCTTTTGGTGCCTATGTTGCATGTCTGATGTAATGATGTATGGTTACAAGACAATAACCAATGTCAATGGCACCATATTCAATTTGAGAGCTGATTATCAGTGCATAACATAGCAGATGAGTCATATAGTACTTTAGTGTTTTTTTTTTTTTCTTTTTTTCTTTTTTGTAGAGCCTGACAAACCACCACCAGTATGTTGCTGTTTTGTTTAATGGAAAATATCCTTGTGATGATTAATTAAAAACTATTTTTCTTTCAGTACATGTCATTCAGAATGACATGAGAGTGAGTAATTCAGAAAAGTTTCGTTAATGGTTGAGCTATTCTTTAAAACTGTGATACGATTTGATATTTGATACTTATATGATAAATTTCTTTGGTAAGTTCCTCAGCTGATGTGGACAAAACTGAAAAATGTAAAAGAAAGCTGATAGAATGAATAGCACCATGTCCGGATCCTATTAGATACAGTAAATATAATGGCTGCAAAATAAAATAAATCAATTAAATGTAATAAAAAGGTAAAATAATCAACAAGTAAACCCCATTTCAAACTTTAAATAAAATATTTCATCCAAGGCAATTGTTGTGCATAATTATGTCTCTCTCTATCTCTCTCTCTGTCTTTAGATGTACAAGTTTAAATGGCAATACCGCAATGGTGGCAGAGTTTCATATTTTTAAACCACTTTCTTTGATAGTTTGATGGCAATGGTCAAGATCCTAAGAATGAGGTTCATATTCAGGACATTGGCAACCGCCATGAAATACTGTCTCTGGATTAGGTAACAGAGAGAGATATAAAGAGAGGAAGAGAGAGAGAGAGAGACGCCATCAGATTGCAGTGTTAATATCCAAGCAGTCAGTAATGCATGCATGCCAATACAAACCTTCCAACTAAAGCCCAGAAAGAAACAATATACAGCACAAATGTGCAACACAAGCCGTAATAGCTCAGAATATTACAGCAATAAAGTATTCACCATGAACATGGAGTGGAGTGAGGAGATGGGAACACAGAAAGTGGACCAGATTATGGTTGGGACATGATGTACAACATGGTATGATTATTGTGAGGCAAGACCAGAAATGCTGAAAAAACCCAGTGAGGGTTAATAGGAGGCAGCCAGAGTGCTAGATTTTAGTATAGAGTCATAAGCTCGCAAGCTCATTAAAATAGGTTTAGGTTTGGATTCAAATACCCAATATCCAGTGGCAGACATCACTTCGGGTCTTGGGAGGGCAAGGAAGGGGTGTAGGTACAGCCCTGCCATTATAGTTCAAACTGTCAAATGAGATTCACATCAATACACATTTAGCCAGAGACCTTTTTCCAGCAGTGTAGTGAACAAAAAAGGCTCTAGCAAAATCCTTGAACATCATGAATATTCAATATACTGCTCTGCCCATGTGCAGAGTATTTTAATGTATATTGAGGTCATATCAAGACCGCATGATGAGGTCAAGTTCTGCATGATGGGGTCAAGTTCAAAGAATGAGTAATAAACAATATTCTTGATCATGACAATATTGAAGAGGTTGAGACCAATGACACTGAAAACACATACAGAAACGAAGACCTTGATGACAGTGATAAGAAGTAAGACAACTGCAGTGAGGGGTTTATGGTGCAGTGAACTAAGATGGGAATTTAATAAGACATGGGGGTGTAAATGGATGAAAATGCTTCTCCCATGTCTCTCTCAGTGCTCATAAAGTACTGCTTATGCCAAACAATAAAAGGATTATGATTCCTTTGAGTCCTTCAGCCATTTTGAGGCACTATAGAGAGCAGCACTGACTGCACATTTTGCTGTATTTAACACTAATACATCACTGTTCAAAAGTTTGGTATCACTAATTGTTCTTTTTGAAGGATTTCTGGAAAATATTTATCACAGTTTCCTCAAAAACTGAACTGTTTTCAACATTGATAATACTAGGAAATGTTTATTGAGCACCAAATTAGCATATTAAAATGACTTCTTAAGGATCATGTGATATTGAAGACTGGAGTAATGATGCAGCAAATTCAGCTTCGCATCACATGATAAAAACTAATGACTTGTCATTGAATATAAGAATAGCAATAGTTACAGTCTTTAAGCGTGTCCTCGGCTTTAAAGAGTGATTTAGGTTTGACAAGTCTCTGATTGGTTGTAGTTTTTAACCATTAATTTGGCTATTAAATACAGTGACACGTTTGGTTCACTTTTTGGGAACATGATAATATGTCATGGCCACGGAAACATTTTTGAGATACCGACATCCTTATGCCGTGGTCACGTGATGTAAAGGCATGCCCTTGAGATCCTATGTCGAGAAAACGAAATCTATTTCCCGTGGCCACGAGTTAAATGTTTAAATAACCTACGTGACCATAGTTTTGTCGTGGCCATTTCCGATAATTCCAGGTTTCCAAGTGAACCGAACATGTTCACCATAATTAAACACATTTTTGTTTTGGTTAATTATTTAAATTCAAAAGTTGAAGTCACATGACTCAGTAGGTCTGTGTTAAATGATTAAAAGGTGTGTTGAAAAAATACACTATCACTTAAAGTCAAATAAAAAAAAAAATGTATGGAGAAAATGAACGGGATCTTTATACTTGTGTCTGATGTGATGCTTTCTTTTCCAATTTCATAGCTCTGGCATATTTGGTGCTGTGCTTGTTTGCAATACAATAATCTCTCCTATTTTCTGAGACTTAGCAGTTATGTAAGTCATGAGCGCTGAGGGAGACAGACTGATTGATTTGATGCTGGTGTCCACAGTGGCTGTAATTTCAGTGACGCTATGTATTTGGAATTATGTGTAATCCGAGTACTAATCATTGGGGACCGAGAGGATGACATTGATTATTTTTTTAAGCAGTGCATATTAACAAATGACAGCAGCTGCAGTTATGATGAGCAAACTGTTTCTCATATGTGAGTGTGTGTGCTCACCATAAGAACAGAAACTCCTGGGGAAGTGTTGCTCTGTTTCTGCACAGAGTTAAAGTGCTTTTTGAGTTTACCTGCCACCTCCATCTTCATATTGTTTTCCATTGCACCCTCCTCCTGTTGGTTATTGAAGTGGATTAGAATAGGTGTCTAATCTAATGGTGAGCAATATATTGTAACTGTGTCCACCAGAGCATATTGACTAAATTGTAGGTTTCAGTTTGAAAAATAAATTGAAACATAAATCAAAACCACCTCAAATATAGCTTAAATCGCATCAATAATGTTTTATGAGTAAGTGTGCGAGTGAATACCCTGTGGCCATCCATGCTGCTCAACATAATACATTTTGATTTCGGTATATTATAGAAATGTGATACTTTAGTGTGCATATGCATTACATAGCTTCACAATATTGACAAAAAACAAAAACAAATAAAACATATACACCACTAAACCCATCAACTCACATTAACTGTGACCCAGGGGTGAGACAGCACGTCCTCTGCTGTGTATCTGGCCTCCACATTCACTTGCAGCATGTGACCAATCAACTCCTGTATGAACACATCATGATCATTTATTTGTTGATTTAATAGATTTTTAGCATTAAAAAGGTACACAAACGGACAGTAAACAAATACTGTTACATTAAATCTTTCAACCTTCAATCTTCAAGAACTCAAACACTAATCAGGTAACGAGGGGGAGGGATCAAACAATGACAAGAGCACATGGCCCAACATAACAAAGACACATGTGTGCAATACAAGACAGGACAGACACGTGACAATTATAGCAATGTGTAATTAAGGGCTCCTCATATAGTTACAGCATTAGCTAAGATAGATTTGTTTAATCCTTAAAGGTGCATTGCGCAAGTCTCTGAGTTTTTGCAGAACTATGCCCCCTTTGGCGACAAGCGAAACCGCAACCAGAGGTGTGCACGCTCACGGACCACAAGCACACGCACGCTTGCAGAAGTTGTTCAAAAACAGAGGAGCACCAGTCACACTCATCTTTTGTTACAGTCATAATTACACACTTAGCCTATGTGTGAGGGGAAAACAGGGGTAGTAGAAAACTTTGGTTTTAGTTTCCATCTATCTCCATGCATCTATCACCACTTGTATTATTTTGGAAACACGTTCATGAACAATATAAGTTCTTACTTTGTATAGAATCCCGTTTGAGCCCTAGAGCAAACCGGAGATCTCTCCATTTGTTGAAAGCTTTTTTGTTGACTCTCGTCTTATTCCGACGCCTGGCACTAGAGAACAGTTTTATTTTCGTTGTCTTACGTTGAGTTTGCATTGGGGTTTGGAATGAACTACAAGCTGGTCTCTTTGAATCCATCTTCTACTTTTGTCGAAACTTGACTAAAGTTTTGTCGCTCGAATTGTCTTCACTGATTCGGAGAATGGCGGCGAATACACAAACTTGCCAGACATAGCCAGGTGAGTGTGAACGGACATGACGTCACGCTCAGTCTCCAATTCGATTTACTGTACAGGATTATAGAGACAATCGGAATGATCAGAGAAGGGCTCATTCAGCTCATCAGGCAATTGTTTAAAAATGTTGCACAATGCACCTTAAAGAAAATTAATTATAACTGAATTAATTTAAACACATATATACATTTGTTTAATTAAAAACTGTATAGTTTAATTAAGACCAGCTATTAGGCTAGCTGAAGTAAAACCATGCCAATCTCAAGGTGTGGTGGAAGGTGTGTGATGATGTGGGGATATTTGAATTCCAAAATTTTTTAAAAATATTTTAAAAATAAAAATCTGCCTGACTCTATGGGAATTTAACATAGGGGGGCAATGACTTATGCACCCTGTATTTTAAGGAAAAACATTTATTTATTTATGATACATTATTCATTCACAAAGAAAATTTCTGTCCTTAAAGGTTGGAGTTTTCCTCATTTTTCTAATTAAGGCATTGAGATCAATATCCAAAAGATGATTTTTTATTCCTCTTTTTAGGCAACTTTAGCATGGGGGCAAACACTTATTCACACCACTGTATATATACACCACTATATACTGTACATAACATTTTCTAAATTAAAATGTGATAAGCATGTTAAAGTGTGTGCAAACACAGCAAAACATTCTTCCATTCATTGAAGAGAAAGATGTTATAAACCTAGCACAAAAAAACAGTTCTAAAGCTGGATCGGCTGAGTGTGAGAGGGGGAGGACGTGAATGAGATGAGATGATGGTGTGAGTAGGATGAAATAAATTGGACAGCAGCAGTCAGGACACAGTATACAGGATGAAGAATGATGGATGTGGAGATAAATGAGTGAGGTTGAAACAGTGCATTTTAAGAATGTAGCATGTGTCAAAATCTGTGTTTGTCTGTACTCACTTTAGCAGAGTGAGTGATATTGTCCCAGAAGGGTGAAGGGAACTCTAAACGCCCAACCAGAATCTGATCAAATAGGTCATCCTGAAGGTTATTCTCACTACAAAAATAAATGCAATGCACACAGACACACACAATTTTTAAAGAACAATAACTTCTGAGAACAAGCAATGAACAAACTGAGACTGAATTTTTAACACTCTAGTATTCACCATGGAATCAAAATTGACAATTCTTTTTTTTTTTTTTTTTGTATGGAATATTGCCGTATTTATTATAAAGGATTTATCTGTGCACATTATTAATATTATTTTATTTAATTTTAATTTCATGAGTCCTGGTAATCTTTAACCAAAATAACTTGCAATGACATCTCTTCTGTACTCTAATGACGTGTTTATTAGCGCATGGGCAGGACAACCTGTCACTCACATAAAAATGACCAATAGCAAACCATAATGATTCAACCATACAATCAATTATTGATGGACAAAATCCCACCCTACATTTTTTCTTGTCTGAAAAGCCATTTCACTCGGATATAGGTCATTATTGGAAAGAAAAGACTATCAGAACTACTGTTTCATGCTGACTTTAACATGAAGGACTGAGACAGTTTTATCACGTGTTACCTGCGGAAAGGTGGAAAGCCACATAGAAGGATATAGGTTATCACTCCAGCTGCCCAGATATCCACTTTTAGCCCATAACTGCAGCGATGCCCGGATATAAAGACACAGTCAATAACATTCATCCTCCAGCATTTTAAACGCTATTAAACACAGATATTCATGCTCCCATAGCAATATCACTTTTGATGATATAAAAACAAAACAATCAAAGAATCTTACCCCGACTCTGCTATGATTTCTGGGGCAACGTAAGTGGGTGTTCCGCAAACAGTGTACAGCGGGCCTTCAACCACTGTGGCCAAGCCAAAATCACCCAACTTCAAAGACTTTGTACCATTAGGGTACTCGCACACCTACGCCACACAGGGAAAGGGTTATTTTTATCCACCAGGATTTACATTATTTCCTCTTTACATACTGTGCCTTGAATTTTTCATTTACAAAGTGCAAAGTTTTCGTGTCAAAGTTGTGTGAATTAAAGTATTTTTAGATCCATAGTCTCTGTGAAAGATGTGTTCATACCAGCAGATTCTCAGGTTTGATGTCTCGATGGACGATACACATTCTGTGGAGGTATTTAAGAGCACCTGCCAGGTCGAATACCATCACACAAGCATCTCTTTCAGTGTATTTTGTTGAGGAGGTGATAGCATCAAACAAATCTCCACCCTGAAACATAAATAGCAAAACAAAAAACTAATTGCTAAATACAGAGTTCTTCTCAATGCATTTGACCTACCTAATAATGGATGTTAGATCTGATTTTATACATGGGGATGTTATTGCATCGTGAAAAATATTATATAGTCATGGAAAAGAAAAATACAGACACAGATTGTATTATCTGAATATAGTTTATTAAATGGCACGCAGGATGTCAGCAGGTGAGTCTTTGGATTGTAGATAGTTATGGTGAAACTGGCATGAAAGTGACAAGTCTTATCTGTTACAGGCTGAGATGAGAGGTGACTGGATGATGTTTATTCAAAGAAGACAGTTTGAGATAGGATCGCACAGGTACGTAGTCAGGTAGCCGATGGAGAAGAGCAACATCGCTGGCACAGAAGGCCTAGGAGAAGCCACGGTTGCTATCGATTGAGGAGGAGCCAGGCTGCCCAAGGACTGAGGTGACGCCGGTGTGATGGAGGACCAAGGCGTATCCAAAGGGAAGGAGGTACCTGCTGCAGCCGAAAGGCTGGAGGAACGGAGCGTTGCAATAGGTCCGCAAGTCTGTGGTGGAGGTGGTGTGACAACTGGCCAAGGGGGTGCCAGTGGGACGATGAAACCCGGTAGAGCTGAAAGGCAGAGGTTGTCTGGTGGAGCCAACAGGTTGATGGGCCGAGACGGAGCGAGACGATTTGTGGATGGAGGCGGCGCCACTGGATCTATCCGCTCAGCTGCTGATGGTGGTTGCAGGACCTGAGGCTTGACACAACTGCTTGGCATTGCAGAAGAGCAGATGGCAGAACAGGGTGGAGATGGAGGCAAATTAAAGGAGAACTCCGGCGAACAATGAACCTTTGGTCTAATAAAACATCGGTACCTAGTCAATCGTTCTCTGAGATTTGTTTTCATGATAATCGAATGTAAAGAGTTTTATCTCTAAAAACTGTTTAGCGTATAATGCTAGAATATGGGGGCATTGACTAAGTAAAAAGAAATCGCTAGTTTATACCATTAACAAGGCTCAAAATAGCCCCACACTAAAGCAGTAACATAATGAGGCTCCATACATGCAAAACGAAGCATTGAGAACCTTGTAAGTGTACAGACCCTTTAATAAGAAGATACTTTATGAAGACAGTTCACTTCGCGTATACAGACAGGAGCCATCTTAAAAAATAGTCTCGATAAGTCGATCTCCGAACGCCCTGAGAAGTTCGCTGAACTTCATACAGTTCAGATCATTCAGCACGACGTTCGTGGTTTGACTTATCGAGACTATTTTTTAAGATGGCTCCTGTCTGTATACACGAAGTGAACTGTCTTCATAACATATCTTCGTATTAAACGGTCTGTACACTTACAAAGTTCTCAATGCTTCGTTTTGCATGTATGGAGCCTCATTATGTTACTGTGTTAGTGTGGGGCTATTTTGAGCCTTGTTAGTGGTATAAACTAGCGATTTCGTTTTACTTAGTCAATGCCCTCATTCCTAGCATTATACGCTTATACGTTTTTTAGAGATAAAACTCTTTACATTCGATTATCATGAAAACAAATCTCAGAGAACGGTTGACTATGTACCGATGTTTTATTAGAACAAATGTTCATTGTTCGCCGGAGTTCTCCTTTAAGGCTTGACAGGGTCGAAGGTAATAATACATTTTCCATGCAGGTGTCTGTGCTGTCTAGAAACAGTGATGAAGGATCATAGGAAACTGGACGAAGGTTCATACAGTCCATGGTGCGGTCTAGGGACAGCAATGAAAAAGAGAAATAGGGTGGGATAGGGTGGGAGACGAAACCTCTAAGCTAAAGTCCATCAGCTAGTTTTAAGTCTCAAAATCCACAAACATTATCTCGGCCACTGATGTTTTGGGCTCACACGCCTGGTCAGACACACTGGGAAGTTCCTCTTCCTATCGCTAACCTCTTATCTTAGGGCACTGGTTGACACGTTGCGATGGGTGGTGGCTCTCCATCTGCGAGGGGCTGCGTTTCCTCCATGGTCGATGGTGGTAGAACGGACTCTGGGTCCAGCAGTATCCTGGGTAGACACTCTACAGACACCGGATGATAGCATCCCTCCAGTTCAGCCCAGAGGTGTCTGGGAGGTCTACGGAGTGATGGTAATTCGTCCCGATCCAGAACAGTGACTTGAGGGTCTTGTCATCAAATGGACTGGTGACGGCAAGGAGGCAGAAGTTCTCGGTAAAAACAAAAAAGTCCAGAAGCTCTGAAGATGAGGTAGTTTGATATGGCCAGCAGCCATATCACTCTGTAGCCCAAGACAAGTTACCCACTAAAGCTAAGCAGGGTTGAGCCTGGTTAGTACCTGGATGGGAGACCTCCTGGGAAAACTAGTCTGCTGCTGGTTACCTCTTATTTACACTGCAGACCGCCCAGAATGGCGGATCTTTGCTAAAGATAGGCGCCGAGTCTATTTTCGACAGACACCGCATCCAAGCTGCACCGTAAATGAAAAATAAGTCAGTTTCAAAATAAACACCCTGTGCAGACTCCCAATTATATTGCGCACTATGGTAGAAACCATAGACTGCAACGTAGAAACTTAAAAATAAAAAAACACGTCAGACAGGTAAATCACGTGGTCTCGCGCATCCATTCACTTTCGCTTTTGAAATACTCCTGGTGTGAGCTGGCACCAAGTGGAAGATGGAACAAAACCTTTTCAGAGCCATAACGCACCCCAGACGTGTGCAGTGTAAATAAGGAGTTAGAAAGGCCAGCAGGGGGTGCTCACCCTGTGGTAACGCCCAATTACTGTGACGGGAATTTTTTTGACTTTACTGTCAAAAAGCACCGTCCTTCAGATGAGACATTAAACCGAGGTTCTGACTCTCTGTGGTCATTAAAAATCCCAAATGTGCCTGTTGGCCTCTGTCCATCATGGCCTCCTAATCATCCTCATATACTGATTGGCTTTATCACTCTTTGCACCAATCTTCTCCACCAATAAGCTGGTGTGTGGTGGGTATTCCACCACATAATATAATATGGCTGCTGTCGCATCATCCAGGTGGATGCTGCACATTGGTGGTTGAGGAGATTCCCTGCCTTCTATGTAAAGAGCTTTGAGTGGTGAGAAAAGCACTATATAAATGTAATGAATTATTTTGAGTTTGAGATAGGATCGCACAGGTAGAATATCCACTTATGGAAGTTCAAGTTGGTGATTGTTGAGTATACACAGCCAGAGAGGATGATGGGAAAAGAAAGTGTGCAAGAGCTGTCTTGTGACTAAGGATTGTGACAATTATATTATAGTATATTATATTGTTCAAAAGTTTGGGGTTAGTACATTTTTAATAAAAAAATTAATACTTTTATTCAGCAAGAGTGCATTAAACATTTATTATATTACTAAATGCTGAATTTCAGTATACTGAATAAATGTAACATGGGTTCTACAAAAACGGCTGTTGAAAATTCAGATTTGCCATCATAGAAATTGTGATTATATTAAAATGTTAAAACAAAATAAAAGTTATATTAAACAGCAATGGTATTTTCAGATGCTAAGTTTTAGAAGCAGAGAAAAGTTTTACATATTTACAAAATAATTTTTGTCAGTGTACACCAATGAATCATGCACAATAAGACCAGGGGCATTTATCAAGTAAAGAATAATTTGTATGTTGTATTTAAATGCAACATATTGTATGGTGTGGTAAGAACCAGTGTAAGTGTGCGTTGTTGAGAAATACAGTTAAAGGGGTGACTAACAAACAGTACCTTCACAAGTTCCATGACTAGATAGAGATCAGTGGGTGTATCCACCTCCTCAATCAGCATGATGATATTAGGATGCTTAACACGCCTCAACACCGCCACTTCATTCTCGATCAGGTGCTCCTGGGTGTTCAAAACATGTGTCACTACAAATTCTTAACCATGCAGCATTTCTCAGCAGTCTTTTGTCTTTAGCTGCCTAAATCCACATGAATTCCTGAGGTTCGTTCTTGCAGGAAACAAGGCAAACAGGAAACTAACTTCCTTGGTTAAAGCACAGGCTGAAATTAGATTATGAGACATTGGCCGCCAGTATAACTGCTGTTTACACACTGTAGCATTCATATACATTGCCAAAAGTATGTGGACAACCCCTTCTAATTAACAGGTTCTAGTGATTCTAGTGAAAACAAATAATGATTTAACAGCATTCCGTGACATTCTCACATTACGGCAACAGTGACATCTATAAAGAAACAATTATTGAGAAATTATTTGTACCTGCTCAAAAAAAAAAAAAAAAACCTTAAAGAGCACCTATCATGGATTTTTGAAAATGACTTTTCATGTAGTGTGGAATATATCTCTAAGGGAATAAAAACATCCTGCAAAGATTTATATCTGAAAGTGCACTGTATATGAAGTTATTGTCTTTCAAAAGTGAGAGTCGACTCTGAGTCTATGAAATGAATTGTTTTTGAAACGAGTCATTAGCTGTTACATTGTGATGTAGAGAGGTCATTGACCGCTACCAACAACTGCGCGCGCATACGGAAGTGTAAACTTGAAGTGACGTCCAGAACACATTCAAATACTTCAAATGTGTTGATTTGCAAGCTGGTTGTTCCTGAAGGAGGGCTCAGTATCCAGTGTATATGGATCAGGTTCGTCCTCCTCCGAATCACAATCTGTAAGTAATATTAATAATGTTTGCTGTTATGTTTTCTGTAGCATGCACAATATAGTTATATTGTGTTGTGTGTGTTGTGTACACTCCGCGCAGCTTCTAAGCGGGGTAAAGTTAGTTTTGTTTTTGATATTTACCAGACATTCATTGAAAAATGGCAATTACCTCCTAAACGACTTAGCCAAATATGACTTCGCTCTATATAATAAGCACTGCCCCTCAAAAGCCCCCGCAATGTGAGTTTCGCCGGGAAAGCTCGCTCTTGACGGAGACGTGAGTAAGGGGCCGTGTGGAAAGTGCATTTTTTCTGACACGTTTGTTCAAACACTATATACAATTTTCAACACTTGACAAGCTATAATCCTGGTTATGGGCGTTCCGTTGCCGACAGTCTCTGCCTACGGTTTACCAATAACAACTAACTAGCAGATTCGCGTCACTCAAAGGAGGTGTTTGGGAAAATGAATCGTCGAACGAATCATTTGTGAGTCGTTGAGCAAATCAGTTAAAAATAAATGCGTATTATAAGACAAATAAAGTGTTTTTTTATCCTTGCATGCACGTTAAACTGTTTTTGGGGACTCCTAAAACAAAAATAGGAACATTTCAAATGCTATGACAGGGGTCTTTAATGCCACTGAATGCATAATTAGAATGGCGACTACAAGCCACTACTGTCTGACCTCACTGATACTCTTGTGTCCAAATAGAAGCAAATCCATATTTCCAGCATATGTTAAAATACTTCTCATAAGAGTATAAAAAACACATATGGATGTGATATTGTCCATAGTTTCGATCATATAGTGTAAAAACCCAGAAGTTCATTGTTAAATCATTAAAAAACTAAAAACCTATTCTGAAGCATTCAGAAGATCTACTGATTGCATTTTTGGACCATTTGTGTTGGGTGTTGGCTAGCTTTTCTCTCATAACCTGCAAGAGGCTGGATAAACGGCAATGAATAAAATTTAAATCTAATCAGCCATATTAAACGGACCAAAAATTCTACAGACCACTGGGTCGTAAATAATTCACATTGCAATAACTCACCTAAAGCCAGGGTCCAGAACTAATAAACAGCTATAACTGCATTTTCATAAGGACACAATATATGCATTATTAATACAAACAATGCAAAATACAGTTTTATGGCTGGTAAAGGAATAGTAATGGCTGGTATATTCTCAGTTGACTCTCCATTGGCTGTTGTGGCAAAAAGTTCCAAGAAAGTCCAACTCACTTTGCCTCTGCATTTGTTTTTATCGATGATCTTCAGTGCAAACTCCTTTCCAGTGGATCTATGGAAAGAAACAGAACAATAGACTTTTACCAAGGAGGCTTATGAGGCTTTGTCTTGAGTGCATTCAGAGCCTCAGGGACCAATTTATAAGGTTGATGTCCTTTCAGTGCACGAGAGATCTTCTACCTTTTAGCTTAAAAATATGAACATGAGTATTGAATCTAGATGTAGATAGTACTGTTTCTTTCAGTATTTTAATCTGGGAACATGACAATAACAAACATAGAAGGGAGAAAAAAACAGAAAGCAACAATTTTATTGACCCCCAAGGACCATTGTATCTCTTTCTAACAGGACAGAAATAACATCTAGTCTTTTATAACTAGTCAGTTTCTTACCGTTCAACACACTCCTTAACCACAGCAAAGTTTCCATCACCAATGACTTTGCCAATTTTGTACTTGTCCAAAATACTGGAAGCAGCTATGTTCCTGTTTCCATTAACTAAAGGGAATAAACCAAAACATTAAACATATCAGATTGAAACGCATAATAAAAATTTCCATACCATATGTGTCAGGAATCAAGTTTTGTTCTGCTTTTTCTCTCTCTCTCTCGGTGCTCTCGCACACCTGTGTCCTTTCCCAATCAGCGATCTCTCTCCTGCTCTTCTCTCACCTGTTCCTCTTTTGCCCTGATTTTCTGGCTATTTAGACGTCATGCATTTTTCCCTTCTTGTCGGGTTATTGTTTGTTCATTCATGTCCGTTACTCATGCCTGTGAATCTCTGCTACTGTTTCTTGTCCTGTGTGTACGTATATCTCAGATGAGTTACTGCTCCGACTATCCTGAGTCTATTCTGCTACTCCGTGCTGCGGTTACTGCCTGGTGGAGTCTGCGTTTGCCTTTTCCTGTGAGCAATACCTGATCGCCTTCCAGCGTCTATCATCTTGCCTGAAGCCTGTTTTTCCTGCTCTGCGTTCATCAAGTCTACATGTGTTCGGCAGACAGCCTGTGTTGCAGTTATCTACTTTCTGTTCAATAAATTATTCACCAGCTTTCGCTTTTGGGTCTATTTCGAACTGTTACAGAATAACCCGACCATGACGGACCCAGCGAACGATACAGCCGTCCGCTCGGCTGTCGAACTGCAGGGAGCTTTACTGGGCAGACATTCCGAGGAATTAGCCGCCGCCAGGCACGCCGTGGATGCTCTCGTTGCCCAGGTGTCGGATCTGACTGGTCAGCTTCATCTGCTGCGTCGAGACCAGTCCCCTTCTGGATCGCGACATGCCCCCGAGCCTCGAATCAACAACCCTCCGTGCTACTCTGGTGAGCCTACCGAGTGCCGTGCATTTCTTACCCAGTGTGAAGTGATCTTTTCTCTTCAGCCTGTCACGTATGCCTCCGACCGTGCCAAGGTCCCATATGTGATTTCCCTTCTCACTAGTCGAGCCCGGGAATGGGGAACGGCTGTCTGGGAGGCTGGAGCTGATTACTGCGATCAGTTTGATCTATTCAAGGAAGAAATGTTAAAGGTTTTCGACCGTTCTGTCTTCGGGCGTGAGGCTTCTCGTCAGTTGGCCGCGCTTCGTCAAGGGAGACGCTCCGCAGCTGATTACGCCATTGAATTTAAGACTTTATCCGCTACCTGCGAATGGAATGATGCTGCGCTCACGGCACGCTTTTTGGAGGGCTTGAATGATGAACTTAAGGATGATATTTTTGCTCGTGAATTTCCCTCTAGTCTGGATGAGTTGGTTGAATTAGCCATTCGTTTGGATAACCGTTTTGACTTACGCCGACGTGCTCGTTCTGACGTCACGGGATTCCGGGCAACCCCACCCTCTCAGATTACGTCACCTGAGTCTCACTCTGAGTCTGAGCCCATGCAGCTAGGGAGAATTCACCTCTCTTCTGCTGAACGCCAGCGCCGTATTCGAGAGAGGTTGTGCCTTTACTGTGGTGGCACGGGTCACTTTGCTGCCACATGTTCAGTAAAAGAGAGAGCTCGCCAGTAGTTAGGGGAGTATTGGCGAGCGCTACCCCACTATCCCCATCTTTCAGTTCCCGCACCATGATTTCAGCAGTCCTTCGCTGGGGACCACTTCTGTTGTCTGCTCTGCCCTAATTGACTCTGGGGCTGAGGGAAATTTTGTTGACGAGAGGTGGGCTATTGAACATGGTTTGCCCCTACATGAATTAAGAGATACACCCACAGCCCTTGCCCTGGATGGTCGTGTCCTTTCCAATATTCACCTGGCCACTGCCTTGGTGAGTCTCACCACGTCTGGCAACCACCAAGAGAGTATTTCTTTTTTTGTTTTTCAGTCTCCTATGGTCCCCATTGTCCTAGGTCATCCATGGTTAACTAAGCACAACCCACATGTTAACTGGTCTGATAGTTCTATTGTTTCTTGGAGTTTGTCTTGTCATACTAATTGTCTTGTCTCTGCTGTTCCCTCTGGTTCTTCTTTGTCTGTTTCTCAGGAGGAGTCTATTGATCTATCGGGAATATCACGATCTGCGAGCGGTGTTCAGTCGATCCCGGGCCGCTTCTCTCCCTCCCCATCGGCCGTACGATTGTAGTATCGACCTTCTCCCTGGCACCACTCCTCCCCGTGGGCGTTTGTATTCGTTATCCGCTCCTGAACGTGAGGCGCTCGAGAAGTACCTTGATACTTCACTTATGGCCGGTACCATCGTTCCTTCCTCCTCCCCCGCCGGTGCGGGATTTTTCTTCGTGAAGAAGAAAGACGGCTCTTTGCGTCCCTGCATCGATTATCGTGGGCTGAATGACATTACCATTAAGAACCGGTATCCTTTACCATTGATGTCGTCAGCCTTCGAGATCTTGCAGGGGGCAAAGATCTTCACGAAGTTAGATCTCCGCAACGCGTACCACTTAGTGCGCATCAAGGAGGGTGATGAGTGGAAGACGGCGTTTAATACTCCGTTGGGGCACTTTGAGTATCGGGTTTTACCTTTCGGTTTGGTAAACGCCCCAGCTGTTTTTCAAGCGCTCGTCAACGATGTATTGAGAGACATGCTTAACATCTTCGTCTTCGTGTACCTGGATGATATCCTCATTTTCTCCCCATCTCTCCAGGTACACACCCAACATGTGCGCCGCGTGTTACAGCGGTTATTAGAGAATCGTCTCTATGTTAAGGCCGAGAAATGCGCGTTTCATGTCCAGTCGGTTACTTTCCTTGGTTCGGTTGTGTCGGCGGAGGGCATAAGCATGGACCCCTCCAAGGTCCAGGCGGTCACTAACTGGCCTGTTCCTGAGTCTCGCTCGGCACTTCAGCGTTTTTTGGGATTCGCGAACTTTTATCGCCGTTTTATTAGAAATTTCAGTCAGGTTGCCGCCCCCTTGACTGCGCTCACATCCGCGAAGTGTCGTTTTGTCTGGTCCGAGGATGCTCAATGTGCGTTTGAGCGTCTTAAGGATTTGTTCACATCCGCTCCCATTCTGATTTCGCCTGATCCTAAGAACCAGTTTATCGTTGAGGTGGACGCGTCTGACATCGGGGTCGGAGCGGTTCTCTCGCAGCGCTCCGCTCTCGATCAGAGGGTTCATCCATGCGCTTTTTACTCGCATCGACTCTCGTCTGCCGAACGTAATTATGATGTGGGTAACCGGGAGCTTTTAGCCATTCGACTGGCCCTGGAGGAGTGGCGCCATTGGTTGGAGGGATCCTCCCTTCCATTTATTGTCTGGACAGACCACCGTAATCTAGAGTATATCCGTTCGGCCAAGAGGCTTAACTCTAGACAGGCTCGGTGGGCTCTTTTTTTTGGCCGTTTCAATTTTTCTATCTCTTACCGTCCAGGGTCAAAGAACATTAAGCCTGACGCTCTTTCTCGCCAGTTCTCCTCCTTCGGGGGTTGTCCCACCACTGAGACCATCCTTCCGGAGGGATGCGTGGTTGGGTCCGTCACCTGGGGGGTGGAGAGGCTGGTGCGAAAGGCTCTTTCTCACACGGTTGTTCCTCGTGGGTGTCCTGAGGGGAAACTATTTGTCACTAAGTCTGCTCGTCTGGCTGTTCTTCGTTGGGGTCATTCTTCTAGACTGGTCGCTCATCCGGGGGTGGGTCGTACTTTGGCAGCTGTCCGCCAGCGATTCTGGTGGCCTGCCATGGAGCGTGAGATACGCCGATTTGTTGCATCATGTTCTGTCTGTGCCCAGCAGAAGTCCAGTAATTCGCCTCCCGATGGTCTGCTTCGCCCTCTCCCTATTCCCTCCCGGCCTTGGTCCCATATTGCCCTGGACTTCGTCACGGGGCTTCCCCCCTCCAGCGGCAATACGGTGATTCTCACTGTCGTTGATCGGTTTTCTAAAGCGGTTCACTTTGTTCCACTACCCAAGCTTCCGTCGGCTAAGGAGACTGCTCAGGCGGTTGTGGACCACGTCTTTAGAATTCATGGGCTTCCCTCTGATGTTGTTTCTGACAGGGGACCCCAGTTTGTCTCTAACTTTTGGAGGGAATTCTGTAGACAGATTGGCGCCACCGCCAGTCTGTCTTCAGGGTTTCACCCACAGAGTAATGGGCAAGCTGAGCGCGCTAATCAGGACCTCGGTCGGATGCTCCGCTGTTTGGCGGCTCATAACCCCACCTCCTGGTGTGAACAATTGACTTGGGCGGAGTACGCCCATAATTCTCTGCCATCTTCGTCCACCGGCCTTTCACCGTTTTCTTGTTGTCTGGGCTACCAGCCACCTCTGTTTCCCTCTCAGGAACCAGAGGTCGCCGTCCCCTCGGTCCAGGCCTTTATTCAGCGCTGTCGCCGCACTTGGCGGAGGGTGAGGTCAGCTCTGTGCCGGACCAGGGAACGTACTCGTCGTATCGCCAATCGTCGCCGTTCTAAAGCTCCCAGGTACGTTTGTGGGCAGAGGGTATGGCTTTCTACACGTAATTTACCCCTTCAGGCACCCGCTCGGAAACTGGCTCCTCGTTTCATTGGGCCTTATGCTATTACTAGGGTCATCAGTCCGGCTGCTGTACGGCTCAGGTTACCACACTCTCTCAAACGCGTTCATCCCGTTTTTCATGTCTCGTGTATAAAACCGGCGCTCCGCCTCCGTCCTACTCCCCTTCCCTCCCGCCCTCCCCCTCTTGCCCTTGCTGCTAACCCTCCTGTCTTTAAGGTTAAGAGGCTACTGGACGTCCGACCCCGGGGACGGGGTTTTCAATATCTTGTCGATTGGGAGGGATACGGCCCGGAGGAGAGAAGCTGGGTACCGGGAAGGGATGTGCTGGACCGCTCGCTTATCGACGATTTCCTCCGCTCCCGTCAGTCCTCCTCGGGGGCGCCAGGGGGCGCCCGTTAGAGGGGGGGTACTGTCAGGAATCAAGTTTTGTTCTGCTTTTTCTCTCTCTCTCTCGGTGCTCTCGCACACCTGTGTCCTTTCCCAATCAGCGATCTCTCTCCTGCTCTTCTCTCACCTGTTCCTCTTTTGCCCTGATTTTCTGGCTATTTAGACGTCATGCATTTTTCCCTTCTTGTCGGGTTATTGTTTGTTCATTCATGTCCGTTACTCATGCCTGTGAATCTCTGCTACTGTTTCTTGTCCTGTGTGTACGTATATCTCAGATGAGTTACTGCTCCGACTATCCTGAGTCTATTCTGCTACTCCGTGCTGCGGTTACTGCCTGGTGGAGTCTGCGTTTGCCTTTTCCTGTGAGCAATACCTGATCGCCTTCCAGCGTCTATCATCTTGCCTGAAGCCTGTTTTTCCTGCTCTGCGTTCATCAAGTCTACATGTGTTCGGCAGACAGCCTGTGTTGCAGTTATCTACTTTCTGTTCAATAAATTATTCACCAGCTTTCGCTTTTGGGTCTATTTCGAACTGTTACAATATGATCGAAAAATATTTTCAGGTGAAAACCAGATGTTTTGTAAAACCCCCCAAATAACAGATTAGCTCCAACATCCTCATCCAACAATTCAAATTTGGTTAGTGCACTATGCAGATAAACAACGGAAGGTCATTCTGACTCATGCTCTGCTGAGCAGGGACGTTTGCTCATACACTGCCACCACAGTGTGTGAACGAGTGGGAGAGTGCCTGAGCAAATGTGGCACAGAATGGCATGTGTCAGCACTTTCACCGCCAAAGCTTGTCATGGCCCTGAAATGCCCTTTGGGGACTTTTGGACTTAAAACACAATAATATCCAAGGTGAGTGAGTGAGTGCATGACTGTGATGAATTGGAGTCGGGACGTCTTACCTTCAGGGCTCACACTGTTGTTATATTGGTGGGGCGTCTCAGAGGAGCCGTTCACATTGGTTGCAGAAGAGTGATGTGCTGGAATCTGCAAAAAGAGACAAAAGTCTTAAAAACCTTAAACAATTAAAAGACCTTTTTATTTAAATACTAAAACGCAAGGCTGGGCGATATAACTAAAACGGATTATATTTAATTCAGTCTAAAATGGATTAAGAATGTTTTTTTTTCATATAAGATAAATCATTAATGCAAACCAACATCAAATTTAGTAAATAATCATATATAAGGTAGGAGTACTGAAGACTTTATTTAGCTTAATGGTGGATCAATTTAAGTTTTTAATTTAAATTAAAAATGTAAAAAATAAACACTTGTTACCAGCCAATCTAGAAAAATTGTTTGTATTCTTAAATCAAGGCATGTTTTCTACACAGTTCTTTTTTTTTCTACACAGTTCAGCACCAATATATATCAATGTCTTCTGAATATTCAGATTTCCCATTACAGAAACAAATTAATTTTTATATTTTGAAAAGCTGAATCTGAATTTTAAGTTCATTCAGATTCACATCTGACTCACAGAACACCTGTACTATTTGTGCAAATGTGTTTGTGAAAATAATCATAAAACAAGCTGAAAACACTGAATTTGCATGTTTGTTGAATGTGCATTTACAACAAATAGTCATTATTGGTAAAAATACACATTTGTGAGTGACCCTGGACCACAAAACCAGGGTTTATTTTTTTTTTTATTCATTTATACATCACCTGAAAGGTGAATAATAAGCATTCCATTGATGTATGGCTTGTTAGGATAGAACAATGTTTGGCCGAGATACAACTATTTGAACATCTGGAATCTGAGGTTGCAAAAAATCGAAACATTGAGAAAATCGCCTTTAAAGTTGTTTATGTTCGCAATTGTACTGCATTCACTCACAAAAACAAATGTTTTATATATTTACTGTAGGAAAGTCACAAAATATCTTCATGGAACATGATTTTTACTTATATCCTAATGATTTTTGGCATAAAAGAAAAATCGATAATTTTGACCCATACAATGTATTATTGGCTATTGCCACCCGTGCTACTTTTTTTATTATTATTATTTATTTAAAAGGGACAATGAATATTGATAAATATCTTAGCTTTTCAGCAATGTAAATATGCCAGAATTAGTCCCAGGGCTACTTTCCATCTGCAGTCCCCCGTCAGGTCATCACAAACAACACATAACAAAGCTCACATTTAAGTTTAAATAAGATGCTACACAGTTTAAAGACTTGTGACTGGTTTTGTGATTAGGGTCACATTTACCATCTTTCTAATTCACAAATCATTCCTGGCAAGTAAATGTTTGTTGTTATAAGCATTAAAAGGTGAAAGGCCAAATAGTAATATTTGCAAATTTTGGAAAAGTATACATCATTGCCTTAATATTTAACAGCATCACAGATACTCGAGGCGCTAGACAATGAGGGATTGCAAAGCCATTGTCCAAATAAAAGTGAATTAAAATCATTGTGATATTTATTGCAAGATCTTTATAAAACATGAGTGTTCATTATATTGCCCAGCCCTACTAAAAAGAAAAGCATAGATGGTTATAGAAGCGATTATACAAAACCCTCACAATAAAACAATCAGTTTCTCAAACAACATACTGCCATCCAACATTAAATATCATCCTTAGTGAAATAAATGGTTGATGAGGACACAAACAATTATCTAAAAGACAAACTGTGTGCGACTCGCGTAAAAAATAATAGACCTAGTCTTAAAAGATTTTAAATGGGCTGGCAATCAGTATGGTTAAAAAGCCAGTATGTTATCTTTATTCAGCAGCCAAAAAAGAATTAAACTGACGTGACAGTGACATGAGAAAAGACTATAAGCCAATGGAGACAAATACTGGCAGCATCCTGGTTAAAGCTGGTTTAATAAAGGCTACAGGGTTCCTCTAGGTACACAAGTAACAGTTGGGTTTTATTAGCCACCCTGAAAGAATCAAATACCCCAATGTATAGCAGAATGATTTAAGTGAATCACACAATCATACCCAACTGAAGACTTGAATATCCAGAAGGAACTGCAGCTAATATGAATGCTGCTACAGAAGGCAGAGTTTCATAATACCTGTACAGAGAGACGGAGGGGGACTCCTATCCGCTTGTTGCAACTAAACTAAAGGCAAGTGGGAAGATATTTATGTAACCATAACGTTGGCGCGTTTGGACTAAAATTAGCTTAAAGCAGGAACAATGTGCAAAGAGCCAGCAAACAACTTATTCAGTCATATCTTCAGAAAAGTGCACAATAATGGTGGAATACTATGAATAATTTGTTAAAGGCTTTTTCATGATAGACATTCACAGGCTTCTGAAAATAGCGTATTTCTTAAGTTGTGCATCGTTCTTATATAACTTGTTAGACTTTTATGAAGTATATGTTATAATGTATTGAACTATTTTACTTAAATAACATTTAACTTTATTTTAGATGTGCCTCTCAAAGTTCATATTAGGAAAACATAAATTTAAAAAAGCACCCGCACACCAAGAAGCTTACTGTCTGATAGACAGGTAAGTTAAGCAGATTAACACCAGGAGTTCTTGAGGCTATGATTGTACTTGACTTTGACCTTTGGGTAATTTACAGTTTGCCGTAGTCAGATCTCAGCAAGATCTCAATGCATCAACTCACAATGCCTCCAAGAATAGAATTGATTAGGTCTTTCAGAGCGGATTTACACTCACCTCAAGGATTATTAGGAACACCATACTAATACTATGTTTGACCCCCTTTCGCCTTCAGAACTGCATTAATTCTATGTGGCATTAATTCAAAAAGGTGCTGAAAGCATTGATTAGAAATGTTGGCCCATATTGATATGATAGCATCTTGCAGTTGATGGAGATTTGTGGGATGCTCCCATGGTCAGAAACAATGCTCAGGTAGGCTGTGGCATTTAAACAATGCCCAATTGGCACTAAAGTGTGCCAAGAAAACATCCCCCACACCATTACACCACCACCAGCAGCCTGCACAGTGGTAACAAGGCATGATGGATCCATGTTCTCATTCGGTTTACGGCAAATTCTGACTCTACCATCTGAACTTCTCAACATAAATCTAGACTCATCAGACTAGGCAACATTTTTCCAGTCTTCAACTGTCCAATTTTGGTGAGCTCTTGCAAATTGTAGCCTCTTTTTCCTATTTGTAGTGGAGATGAGTGGTACCCGGTGGGGTCTTCTGCTGTTGTAGCCCATCCGCCTCAAGGTTGTGCATGCTGTGGCTTCACAAATGCTTTGCTGTATACCTCAGTTGTAACGAGAGGTTATTTCAGTCAAAGTTGCTCTTCTATCAGCTTGAATCAGTCGGCCCATTCTCCTCTGACCTTTAGCATCAACAAGTCATTTTCGCCCACAGGACTGCCGCATACTGGATGATTTTCCCTTTTCACATTATTCTTTGTAAACCCTAGAAATGGTTGTGCGTGAAAATCCCAGTAACTGAGCAAATTGTGAAATACTCAGACCGGCCCATCTGGCACCAACAACCATGCCACGCTCAAAATTGCTTAAATCAACTTTCTTTCCCATTCTGACATTCAGTTTTGAGTTCATTGTCTTTACCAGGACCACACCCCTAAATGCATTGAAGCAACTGCCATGGGATTGGTGGATTAGATAATTGCATTAATGAGAAATTGAACAGGTGTTCCTAATAATCCTGTACATACCTGTACTATATACCTGTACTGTATATGTCCTTACACCAGATAATGTAGAAACAAATCCACTGATAGTAAATTACCTCTATAGAGACAACTACTGAAGACTCAAGTGTTTTATGCACTTTGCACATGTGAATTGTGAGGAAACAGGGAACTCCCATATGGGTTTTCCAAATCTACCTGCGATCTTGAACTATAAGAAAGTACCAAGGAGAAATAATAGCACCGCTGTAATAAGAAATAATATAAATGTAGAAGTTTATATAGTGTATAGTGTACCTACATTCTTAACATATTTAATAGTATCCTAAAATGATAACAATTTATCAATGTACTGTATATTGAAGAACATATTTCAGCTAAATACTTCAATGACAATGTTACAATGTTCATTTATTTTTTTTTTAAATATACTCTTTCAATTTTTATTTAATAATTTGTCGACCTTATTGTCTACATAAAATTGTGTAGATACATCACTGACATGTAATACGTATACTGCATAGAAATAAAACAACTGAACAGAATTGAAACAAAAATACAACATAGAAATAAAATAAAAGCTTGCATTTATCATTAAGAGTATGAAAACCTTAGACAGCAGAAAAAAATACATGACTTACTAACTCAAAATAATTTCCGCCCTCGAATTGCAGTATAAAAAAGAGAAGTTAGCATATTCTGATAAAGTGTCATCACTTGACCTTGAAATTTACTGCTTCAATTTGTTGAGAGTCAGTAATTTAGGCAGCATCACTAAACTCTTACTCACGAATGAGTGTTATGATGCTATGCTATCATCCATGCGTCAGCATCCAGAAGCCTAATCTTATTTTTGACTTGAAGAAATAATCTATTCTAAAACTAGCAATGTTGCCTGTAAACTGATTAGGAGCAGAGAGTTGCCATGCCAACGTGTTTACCTTAAAGTTGCGCATGCTGCGGGGGCTGGTCGGGGAGGAGCTGGAAGATTTGGCGGATTTGGGGGTAGTGATTTGGCTGTTAGGTACTCCATTTACTGAGGAGTGTAGCAAGAAGAGGGAGGGAGACAGAAAAGAGAGAAACAAATTGGTGTTACTTCTTACACTCATTTTCTGCTACACATGCATTGCTTAAGACAACCTCATAAGTCTATTTGAAGATAATGTTAAGCTAAGCTGGTCATGTAATCTCAAAATGGTGGCCACAATAAATATGTACCACACTAATCTAATTCTGTCATCATTTACTCATCTTTCTGACATTTCTAAACCTGTTCTTTCTTCCGTAGAACAAAAAAATACAGTAAATAAGTGAATGTTAATGTGGTGATCAAGCTTTGAAAAACGTAACAAAAAAAACAAGTCTATATGACAGACTTCCCAGTCTTTTGAAATCATCCGATTCTTACACTTCATCAAGTCAAGTCAAGTCAAGTCACATATATTTATATAGCGCTTTTCACAATGCAGATTGTATCAAAGCTGCTTCACAATATAAATCAAGACAAGTCATCACAGTCAAATTTGAATGTGTGGTTATTTAGCTACACTGTAAAAGAAAATTCCTAATGAATTACTAAAATTCTTCTTTTCCCTCACACAAAGCTTTAGACTACTTTAGTCGTGTATGGTCATTCTATGGTTCTTATGTTAATTTTTACATTTTGACAGGACAGCACATTTTTACCATTCACTTCTTCCATTGTATGGACAAGAGATGTGCCAACATTCTGTTCCACAAAAGAAAGAATCATATAGGTTTAAGAATTATGTAAACAATGACAGAATTCAATTATGAATTAAATTATGTATTAAATGTACATTTTAAGCAGAACTTATGAACAGAAGAAATATGCCTTTTTTCTAATTGTATAACTGGAGTCTTAATTTAATATTGGTGTACACAGATACACTACTATTCAAAAGAAGATTTGGTGCTCAAGAAACATTTCTTATTATTATCAGTTTTGAAAATAGTTGTGCTGCTTAATATTTTTGTCGAACCCATGATAAATATAAATATATTTATTTATTTATTTTTATTTATTTTATTTTTTCTTGATAAACAAAGTTCAATAGAAATTTAGGCCTATTTGAAATAGATTTTTTGTAACAATGAACAAGTCAATTGTGATCAGTTTATACATTAATAAAATCACAATAATCTTGCATATGTTAACTACATTAGTTCTAAAGCATTTATTCATTTTAGTTAAAGTCAATTTCTATGTTTACTTGCATCTGTTAACATTACTTGCACTGTGAACTAACATGAGCAAACAATGAACAATTGTAACTGTATAATGAACTAACATTAAGAAAAGTTAATAAATCCAGTAAAAAAAAAATACATTGCTTATAATTTGTTCATGTTAACTAATGCATTTACTAATGTTAACAAGTGTAACCATTAGGGTTGGGTATCGTTTGAATTTGAACGATTCTGATTCCGATTCCGATTCCTTGTTTCGATTCCGGTTCCTAACGATTCTCGATTCCGATTCTTTTAAGAGGCAGGGTCAAAAAAGTTTAGCTAACCTTGCTAACCAACGGCCTTTCTGAAGAAAATAATCCTTCTGTAAAAATACTCCTTTTGTCACAAATTTAGCATTTTGCCGAGATTTCGTTATTTTTAGAAAAGTGAAGCCACACTTTGGACCGCCGACGTAAGCTACTCATGTTCGACTCTCGAGGTTTTGCCAACACTTCCGGTAGACGCTTCTTCGTTGGTGTTGTTCAGCGGTTTCTTCTTCCGCTCGGCGGACTGTGAATATCAAAACTAGGAATCGAAATTTTAACTTTTGAACGATTCCGGGAAAAACTAAAAGTTAGTCTCGGTTCTCGATACCCAACCCTAGTAACCATTAACTTTTAAAAATAAAATCTTAATGTCCCCAATATTTTCCTCTCAGGAATGCGTGTGCACAGTGCATATGTCTCCTTGGCCCAGAATAAGTTTCTTAATACAGATAGAAGGGTTCACATGCACCACACCTGTCACCAAATCCAGAATGCTACATAGAATAACCAAGTGATATCAAGCATCAAACACCTTTTAATAAACACCATCCATGGATAGCATTCCAAGTTGCGTCAGAATCCACAGGGAGCATGGATTTGTAGAAAAGCTGCTCTTGGCATTTCCCAATGAGTGTGTGGCATGAGTAGATTTCTTTCCAGGCATGCTATAGAGCCTTTGCAGTTTAGGGACATAGGCATTTAGGGTGTGTGTACTGCATTAGCCAGTCTAAGCAGAAGGCATTTGAGGATGACTGCATTTAGTGTGCGCATCCAATTGGCATGTCTGATACATTATGGTATGCGCAAGCCAGGGTCTGGGGCAGAGGCCAATATGAAAGTTAGCTCTCTGTATACTAGCTGATGGATTTGGAAGGCCACACAGGAGAGCTGTTAGTATGATTGAATGCTGCACCAAAAGGGTTAGGGGTCATGTATACAGCTCCTTCCACAGATGAATGTCCTTTAGGTAAACTTAACATTACAAAGGAAGATTCCTCTAAAGAAGCTCAAGAATTTCATATGGTTGTCAGATTCTCTGGTTGTCAGTTTGTTGGTTAGTCTTATAGTTATGGTAAAGGCAACTAGCATAAAAGTATCTGTAATTCAGTGTAATGGATATGGATGTAATTAAAGGGAATATATCAGAAAATGAATACGCAGAAGCCTACTTTTTATATAAATATAGGTTGTGCAAACATTAAAGGTAGGACATGTTTTTTCATTAAACCTATTTATTATACTGATTGAAATTCTCTTCACATCCTGTTAGCAATCCATAATAGAAGAAAATTTACAAATCCTGCTCTCTTTGTTTATGTTCATTACCATGTGCTTTGAGACATGAGATAATTTAACGTTGTTTCTCGTGATGCTTTGCAGACTGCTCAGCGGTGCGTTTCCCGAAAGCATCGTTAGCCAACTATGATCGCAAGTTCCGTCGTTATCAGCAGAGTTCAACGAGTCGGTGTTTCTCGAAACCATCGTTCCAAAGAACATTCGCAAACAGCATCGCAAAGTTGTGTGGTTTGAGCGACAGCTCTCGAGCTGTGGTTAAAGGGATCGTTTCTATATTTGGACGTAATATTCCTTATCTTGAGCAAAATAAGCAAGCTGACATTCAGTACAACCGGTGCCTTTTATTTAGAATACATACAAATGTAATTTACGTCTTTCAGTTTTTCAAAAGATTTTAAGTACCTTGTTTGAAGAGTGTGCATGTGCGAACATGCTCTACTATGTCAAAACGAGCCAAATATTGAGGATAAAGCAAAACAACTGAGAACAATTTGAAATATTCGTCAGATGACGTCTGTAATTTATATTAAAAAATCTAGCGTTAATTGGATCTCAAACATTAAAAGTAGTTATTACTCCACCACGTGCGAAACCAACATGGTTGAACGAAACTTTGCGACAATGGGTTTCGGAAAACAGTCATGACTAGCTAGTTGATTTCTCCAACAATGTATCTTACTATGGTAGTGAAGCAGCGAGCTACGTCGTTGTACGGGAAACACACCCCTGGCTGTGTGTATTCCTGTGTTTTGAAGCAGGTGTTGCTTTGGAGATGCACTAAAGGGAGGGTGGGGTCTTATGCTTTCAAAGCTGGCTTGCTATAGACCTTATGCACCAGAGAAACGTGGGCGCCGTCATCTTTAGAATATTGTCTTTGAACTTCCGTTTTTGCGGTCGCTCTGTATATCTCTATGGCATCGCTGTCGAGGAGTAATTAGCTGGTGAAGTGGATTTACTTATTGTAGAGTTAACAAAAGTTATCATGAGCATTGTAATGTTTATCATAAGCTTTGTAAAGCAGATGTCTTAACAAATGTCGACCGGGAAATTTTTTTACAAGCAGTTCATTCATAGCTATGCAAGATCGCTGTGAAAATACAGACAGAAGTCAAAAGACAACGAGTGCAGCTCTGAAAAGGGGCGGGGCTACATAAGGTCTATAGCTAGCCTCTCCGAAATTGCCTACCCTACCTTTAAGGGAACATTACATTTGATCATTTTGTAAACATTATGGGAATATTACTTTTGAATGTTCTCTGAATGTTCTGAAACAAGTATTACCATTAAAAAAAACATTGAACTAAAATGTATCTAAAATAAAATAATGCATAAATAACACACAGATTTTTGTGCACACTTTTGAGAACAATATTAAAGATTAGTCAACGCTGCACAATTTTTTTTTATAAATGTTCATGGAAAAACATTTGCTAGCCAAAGTTCTGAGAAAGTTTTCAGAAATTGTGCGGACAAAAAGTCAATGATGTAGCGATGTATAAAGCACAGATCATGCAGAAGTCAGTTGCCAAATCTGCAAAGGGAAATATTTTGGCATCATGCAAAACTCCAGAATGTGTGGATTTCTATTGAATTTGCTCTTCAACCATTTCCAGAACAACGATAAACATGACCTTAACTCACATTAGAAGAGGTTAGCAAATCACTACAGAAGTAATTTACCTTACGAAGTCTTAAAGGTACAGTAGAAGAGCATTGTTTATGGTCAAAGCATTCTGTTTATTTCCTTTTTTGATGCAAGCAACCTCAACTAATATACAGTAATATAACTTCAGGGAGAAAATATAGTGCTAAAAAATGATTTCTTTCATTACCATTGAAACTTACTTGGTGATTTGACTGGAGATTGGCTATTTGTAGAGAAGTGTCCGGGAGTCCTTCTTACTACAGTGGAGAGGAGAGCAATTGAATTTTTGAGTGTTTCAAAAATTATTGGGAAAAGAAAAAATGACAGGAATTTACATGTGAATCACAGTAGTCAGAAAGATTCAGAAATTCAGTTTCTGTTGCTGTTGTTCTTTTCCAAACCTACACTCTAAAAAATGCTGGGTTGTTTTAACCCAACTTTGGGTCAAATATGGACTAACCCAGCCGTTGGGTTAAATTTTTACATTACATTTTTAACCCAACATTTCGGGTTTGTCCATATTTGACCCAAAATTGGGTTAAAACAACCCAGCATTTTTTAGAGTGTAACTTCATTGAGTATGAGGTAAACCAAGTATGATAAATAAAAAGTAACTAAATGCGCTACTTAGTTATTCTTTATAAATAACTTACTTTTTTTCACCTGGGCTGGGCTTGCTTGTTTGTTTTTATACTAATAAAAAAGTTATATTTTTTGTTAAATGTAAAAGCCCTTTCAAACCAAAAGTGAGGCTGAAGGAAATACAAATTCACACCTGTACAGCAGCTTAAACAAACATTTCAAACAAATGCAGGAGAAATTAAACACTCTTGTTTAAAGTAATAAAAAACTAAAAGAAAATTAAACGCAAATGTGATGTATAACTAAAGTAATTTTTGCTTATTTGTATGGTTGAATTGGATAATCAAAGTTCAGCAGTTAAGACATTGGTTAATAAAATGAGACTAAATAAATAAAACATTTAATATTAATCCAGTATTCTAAGTTTGTATTTCACTGTTTTTATTCATATTGAGGAAAACTAAATCTGTTTTTTGAGTAAATGCATGCTCACATTTTGTCTAGATCTACAATAACTCATGTTGACAGAGCACACAATGCCTCTCCCAATTTCTCTCAGCATGGGAACAGGAAAGGTGTCAGTCAATAAATGGGAAAACAAAGGAACTTGCATTACTTATCTGAAAAATCTCTGATATTTTGTTATAAATATAAAAGTGATGTGTTAGCCCCAACACTGAGTGTGACTTTGGTAGTGTATCCTCACCTGATCCAGGGGATTTGCTGCGGCGGGTGGGTCCTGGACTTTTACAACCAGAGTACCTCACAGGAGGAGCAGAACGAGAAGAATAAGAGGACTTGAGCACCTGACATTCTGGACACAGAGACACCATAAATTAGCAGGGAATGTATATATAGTTGATGCCAATAATGTCTTATGAGGTCTCAGAACATTTGCAAAAACAGACATTTTTAAACAATTAACCTCTTTGCCTGTTTATCTAATTGTACACAATACCATTCAAATGTTTGGGAATTCCTTAAAAAAGGAGATTTACAAGTATTTTGTAAGTACCTTACAAAAGGTCTGGTCATTTACAGTACATTATTCACCAAAATGTTCACAAAATCCTTATCAGGCCAGATATGACTGTTTATTGGAATCTGCAGATATATTTGCATGTGCCGAGACTGTGAAGCAAAGTGTCTCTACCCAATGCCTATGAGAGCAGCCCATCTTTGTAATGAGAGCAGTGGATGCAGAACTTTAATAAGGAATGACTCATACTTAACAGCAGCTATAGTGGGCCCGATCTGTCCTGTCGATTACACGGCACTTGCTAATGACGCAAAGCAGTGATAAATTAGCGGATGAGCACTAGATCATGGAGTGATGAAGTTAAAACAAGCCGAATGACATTATTAAAATGCCATTACTGCCAAGCTAATCTGTTTCATGGGGCTTAATGTAAAGCTGAATCTGGGAGAGAATGTGTAATGAGTTCTTTAGTTACAGAAGATTTAGATTTGGGGTGGGCTTGCGTTTTAAGGACACTCCACTTCTGCTGTGGAAAGAAGAGGTTGAGCAGTAAATACAGTCAGAAGCAAACTCACCGTTTCTTTATATTTTTGGAAAAGTCCTACTTAGTCTAAGTGGGGCAGTGGAGAAGAACTAGGACAAAATGCCAAGAAGCTGAACTAAATTCACACAGCTATCACAGTGTGTGTGTGTATGTGGTAAATGTTATAGGAAATGGAGGCGTTTCAGTAAAATAGGCCGAAAATTATATAGGCAAAAGTCATTAGAGTTTATTTAGAACTTCATGGCCACAGAACATCTTCACTTCCCCACCTGCACTTTCATGTTCACTAGACAAACACAAACTGCACACTGAACAATGGTGAGGAACTTCGCATAACAAGGTCACTTCCTCTGACAATGGTAATCCGTTGGTCCCATGTGTTCATTCTGGAAAATGGATTCATTTTTGCAACCCAGTGAATGAATGTGAATGAATGGAAATAATTATGGAAATTATACTATTGCAATCACTTTTTTTTTCTGTAGGAGACAATTCTATTGTGTTTTTGTGCTGATAGCAAGTTTTTATTATGCACAAATACAACATTTGTGTGCTGATGCCAATTAGTTGTTCTGTGCTTGTTTTTTTTCTGTTTATTTGTTTTAAAGCACTGATGAAAAAAAGTATTTCTATCCCATATAAAAGTCATTTATTCCCTATATGTTGTCAATATAAATACCAAAGACTAGCTGAGATATGGTAAAATATTGAAATATTGTAATATGGAAAAATATAGTAAAATTGAAATGAAATGTTTTCCTGTGACAATTTCAAATTCCAGCATCATTACTACAGTATTCAGTGTTTTTTTTTTTTTTTTACATGATCCTTCAGAACTTATTTAATATGTTAATTTGGTGCTTAAGAAACAATTCTTATCATAGTTGAAAACAGATGTGTTGCTTAATATTTTTTGTGGAAACGGTGATACATTTTTTTTTTTACATCTTACAATTTTGACAATTTTTTTATAAGAACAGCATTTATTTGAAATAGAATCTTTGCAACAATGTAAATGTATTTACTGTGACTTTTGGTCAATTTAATACATCCTTTCTAAATAAAAGCATCCATTTCTTTCAAAATTGCAATTTCCACAGTCTTTTAGACCATCTGAGATGAACTCAGGCCAAGAGAACTCAACAGCATCTCTGCATTGAACAGATGTATAGCTTTCTCCTTGCGTAACAGAGATTAAAGTGGCATTTCCTGATTCAGTGGCAGTCTGTGTTCAATGACAACGGTTTTCCAAAGTACTCCTGAGCCCATGTGGCTATTTTTAACACAGCAGCATAAGTTCATTAAGCCATGGCCCAAAAATCTGAGCCTTTGGTGCATCTTCCTTTTATACCCAAACATGATACCCTCATCTTCTAATTCACCTGCTATTGAGTGTGTTGCAGCCATCAAAATCAAAATGTGTTTATATTAACGAAATACAAATAATTTGACCAGCGAAAACATTGGAATTTTTTTCTTTTTTCTTTGCACATTTGTCAGTTAAATAAAGGTTGAAGAGAATTAACAAATCACATATTCTTCATTTTATTGCATTTTACAAAATGTCCCAAATTTTCTGGATCAATGTGGTGTCTGTGTGTGTGATGTCTTCAAATACATTTTTTTATTAGCGATTAGAATGAGAAAAAAATGGCTGAAATGAAGTTAGTGTTTAGCTGAGCCTACCGGTTATAAAGGCTGTGGAAGCCTTACCACTGTGATCCAACACAAAATCATCCTGTGCGTAACGGTGTTTCTCAGGGCCGCACGCGATGAATACGTCATCGTCCCCGAAAAACTCCTGCAAACATGTAATCTGAACGGAGAGAGGAAAGGGTGGGGAAGAGAAAAAGAGAGAAACACTGTTTGAGAAATGAATGGAAGTAATCATGTGACTGCAACAGCTATCTGATTAACTGATAAAGCATGTAGTAGTTCACAATGTTGCACTGCAGTCTATTCAGACTAGGAGTTTGAAATATCTAGACTCAGACTGAATCTGCGGAAGGGTTTTTTTTTGTTTGTTTTGTTTTTTTTTTGCACAAATGGACATAAACGTGAACGCAGTACACTCTTATTGGTAGCTGTAATGTAAAGTATGATTGTAGAATTTGATCAATGACAGGCATTCGCCTTCTGTATGGAGGTGGAGCTGTATCTATGGGTGTAGATTCTGTGTCGGCCTGCCAATAGAGGTTAATAGCTGGGAATTTAAACCATGTCTTAAATAAAAACTTGTTTTAATAACAGATTTATTCAATTAATATAGAGCATACATTTATCAAAATGCACCTCGCTAGTATTTATTTATTTTTTCAGACTAATGAGCTATAGACATTGAATAGCTTTCCTGAGGTAATTGTAATGACATTCTTTCCAAGCTATTTTACTGACTTCGGTAACACTTCCTTTTACAGTACAGTTCTTACGTGTACTTACCTAGAAAGTACTGACTAATATAAGGTAAGCACATGGGTTAGGGGTAGGTTCAGGGTTAATACCTAGTTATTACCCAGTAATTGTAATTACTATAATAAGTACATAGTATGTACATGGGTAACAGGACTGTAAAAGGAAGCGTTACCCAGACTTCTTACTGTGGTTGAAACACTGATTGAATGATTGAGACATGATGCATTTTAGTTGCACTCTTTCTTTCAACTAACTTTCTGATGCTCATTCATATTTATTTCGTGCTTTAACTAGTATTAAAGTTCACTTAAAAAAAAAAAAAAACATTTTTGCTGATAATTTACTCACCCCCATGTAATCCAAGATGTCCATGTCATTCTTTGTTCAGTCGACTTAAATTAAGGTTTTTGATGAAAACATTACAGGATTTTCTCCATATAATTGATTCAATGGGAACCAAACTGTTCAAGGTCCAAATGAAAGTTTCATTGCAGCTTCAAAGGGCTTTAAACGACACCAGACGATGAATAAGGGTCTTATCTAGGACCCTTCGAGTCATGACTCGAAAAAAGATTTGTTCATGTTGATCAACGAGTTTGAACAGTAGAGTCACGAACGCTCATCACAGAACAGAGCAAGGCGAGCATTTGTGCTTATAAAACCTAAACTTTTTAATTTATGATTTAAATGACCGATCATTTCGCTAGATAAGACCCTTATTCATCGTTTGGTGTCGTTTAAAGCCTTTGAAGCTGCACTGAAACTCTCATTTGGACCTTGAACCGTTTGGTTCCCATTGAAGTCCAGTATATGGAGAAAATCTTTTTAATGTTTTCATCAAAAACCTTAAATTCTTTTCGACTGAAGAAAGACATGGACATCTTGGATGACGGGAGCAAAAGTATATCAGCAAAAGTATTTTTTTTTTTTAAAGTAAACTACTCCCAAATGGGAACAGATAAACGGATCATGTGTCTCTTGAACTGAGGCATCTATACAGCAATCTGTAACATGCGACATTAAAGGCCATCATCAAATGACACTTGTTTGAATTCTATCATAAAATTTAAATTTTTTTGAAATTGAAGTAAAAAGAAAAACTTTTTTTATTTTAAAAGTAACAAACAGCAAAGCTTGTTTGGCTATTAGATCAGATGCACACAATACAAATAATGTTCAGGGAAGTTTTTTTTTTTTGTTTTTTTTTCATGGGTCAACATGGTTCATCAAAATTAAGATGAATTAAAAACAATGAAATCATTGTCAACCCAGCCCTAGTGTCCACGCTGCTGACATGATTCCCTGATTTAGCTTATCCACATTTGTGTGAAATAGATGGTGACAGTCTTTGGAGAACCGCTAATTAAACATCACCTTGATTTTAGCCCTTCAAGGCGGTTTTGACCCAAACCAAAAATGAATTTGTTCAAATATTCTGTTGAAAGTTCAGTGCATCTTTACTTTTAGATGAATTTACCAAATCTGAATTCAGTAATATCCAATGCATCACTAGGAATAAAAATAAATAAATAAATAAATAAAACAATTTGAGAGCACATGCAAACACACCCACATACTGTACACACACAGCCGTAGTGGGCAAAGAATGACGTCCGGATTTCAGCCCACTCCTCCACACATGGAGGTGGGCAGCAAGAAGCAGATGGTCCCAATGTGGAGCTCCATCAAACACACATATCTACATGGAACTGAGTGAAAGATCACAGACATATGGAGAGGAACACAGCCCCCTCTTTACCATCATGAGTCAGTCAGAGAAAGACAAAAAGGCAGAGAAAGAATTGCTTTTCCAAGAAGATCGCTTTTAGACTTTATTAACATGCTTCTAATGGCAAAATAGGAGTTTAACCTTTAAATGTCCTCACTGCACACATAAAACGTCACAACAACTCAAATAAACTAGCCGTTTGAGCTCAGAGGCTTAGAAGTCTTTCTTTGTCTGAATCACAAAGTCCTGAACTGTAAGGAAGGTCAGTTGGAGGGACGGATCTTGAGCAGTATTTCCATCAATCAGCAGATTAGAGGAACATATGGGCCCAGTTGCTGGCCTGAGTACAGTGGCAGACTCACTAAAGACACAATGGGAGATTATTAAACATGCCTGAAATGTTTTAACTGAGGAATTGGATCTGTGAATTAAAATACACTCTTGAACCGAGTCAAAAGTGTTTCTGTAAACTGATCGTTAGAAGCACAAGTACAAATTTTGGTCAAGTACATTCAAAAAGCACATGTCAGGAACGCACAGGGGTACAACGTATTAATTGATGTAACTTTTCACCCAAAAATTTTCTCAAAAAACTGAGAAAAGTCAATTAGAAGCACTCACTTCCTGATTGCCAAGAACACTGCGCAGGCTCACACTGAGCTTGATGACGTAGATGTGACGTGAGCAACCGGTCTCACAGTTGTACATCTTCTAGCTGTGCCATGAGGAATCTGAAACATTCCCTTCCGAACCTTGCAGAGCCGGAGATCGTGAGTATTAGCTGTCCATGAGCTAGGAGCAGGAGCAACTCTGATTTCGCGCAAGCTTCTACTTCTGTCTACGGTAATTTCTGTACTGCGATACAGAGAGTCGCATATTATGACGCAATCATTAGCTTATTTTTACAAAAACTGCTTCTCTAGGGCCATAACGTAATAATAATGGAGACTTTTATACATTATCGTGTTTCTTTAGAAATAAACAATGGACAAATGGAGTCTTTAAACACCTCAGATGTCAAGTTATTTGCTGTCAAAGTGGTGCCAAAATGAATGGGAGTCAATGGAATGCTAACAGCAGGTGAAGGCTTGTTAGCCAACGGCCCGGGAGAGACTTCAGTTTCCGGCTGTTGGATTACCCCTTTGATATCACAAAGACTAATGACTAACAAGAATCACCTGTGCACTATCAAACAATGAACCAATGAGAACACAGGACAGATGACAATAACAAATAAGAACATGACACAAAAGGCTTGTTTGATTCCATGCAGTGCTGTGCAGACTGATCGGCAGCTGATTTGAAGCATGTATTGGAAGCAGTGACTTCCATAGTATTTGTTTTTCCTACTGTGGAAAATGGTGGTCAATGGTGATATTTCAAAATATATTTCTTTGTGTTCAGCAGAACAAAGAAATTAATACAGGTTCGGAAAAACTTGAGGGCAAGTAAATGATAACAGCATTTTCAACTATCCCATTAAGATCCACTGCAGTAAAGCAACACTTTAATTCTATTGGTTTATTTAAACCAATTTTTCAAGATGCCAAAATAAAATAAAAAAAAAGACATGCATGGTCTATTCTGAAAACAACAAAAACAACCTACCAATATAGATTTAAACATTTGTTTAAACGGTGGTTACCAGAATACTTGGAACATTTTCAAGCCGGAAAAAAACTAGTAATGTTGGTCTACATGCAATAACCAGTACCATTAACAGACCAATGCGGCCCTTCTAAAACCATATTTTAGACTGCAGGGTGCTCATGAATTCTAGAATAAACAACAATGCAAAAACTGTCACCACACATTACCAACTTTCTTAGTATTTTGAGAAGTTATGAGTATTCTAATCAGTTATTAAGGTGTTCTGTGGGTTTGCTAGGACATTGTTCATGGCTATTACGATAGTTGTTAGATCTAAAAAGTGACTATTATAATGAGCATTACAAATTTCTAAACAAGTCTATTAGGGATCAATTTATTTTAAGTTTCTTGTAAGGTAATCATTAAGACTATTATTATTAAGCTCCTCTAAGTCTTGTCCGTCTACAAAGCCCAGTAAAGTATAGGCCTGTGCCTAGAGAGACCTGACAGGGTGCTGAGAGTAATAACAGCTCAGCTTTATTTGGCTGACAGTAATGAAGGGTATAAGAGCAGAACTGCTCTACACTGTGTCAAGACGGAAAGAAAGAGAGAAAGAAAGCATATAAATGGGACAAGTGGATGAAGTCTACGCTCAAAACAAAGTCACACACTATGGTATACTGCCAGTTCACTGAATGGGGTGTTTGGGTGCTTATTTGATCCAAAGCAGAATACATGAATGTTAAAGGGATAGTTCACCCAAAAATGAAAATTCTGTAAGTATTTACTCACCCTCATGTTGTTCCAGCCCCGTAAGACCTTCGCTCATCTTCGGAACATGAATTAAGATATTTTTGATGAAATCTGAGAGCTGGATCACTCTTCCATACTAGTCCATAGGCTTCTTGAGGGATTGAAACTTGCCAGCCTCGAAAAGTTATTAAAGACATCGTTAAAATAGTCCAAGTGACTACAGTGGCTCAAGTTTATGAAACGACAAGAGCACTTTTTGTGCGCACAAAAAAACAAACATAAATAACGACTTTATTTCAACTATTAATTTCCTTCTTGTCTTTAATAACTTT